ACTGGACCACCAGGGCTCTCCCAGCATGCTCATGGGAAGTCAGATTGGAAAACCGCTGACTTCAGAGCCCGTAGACAATGTATTGCTTGAGTTCCCGGTCTTGAGAGTCGGTGTTGACTCCATAGCTAAGCAGGGTGTGGTACCCTGCTTCCCTGGGGCTGTGCCTGCTCTGATGTTAGAGTGGTGGGTGTCTGATAGAAAAGTTAGCGGAGTGGGAGGGGCATGGTAAGTGTTGGAGGTGGGTGTCAGGACCGATGGAGGGTGGGGCTGGGGTGGGGGATCTGGAGATGAACGAGTAGAAGGACGTCGCCGTACGAAAGCCCCGGATGGCGTGTCTGGCAAGTTGGAGGAAGCCCAAGAGGGTGGCGGGAGTAGAGGTGGCAGCGGGGGCAGTTGGAGGCGAGGGGGCCGGCACCCATCCAGCCTGCAGCTCATGTGGCCAAGAGCCCCTCCGTGGCCTGCGGGGAGGGGCCCCTGTGTGTCCCTCCTCCTCTGTCCTCCCCTTCAGCCCTGCCATTGCCCTTCCAGCTGAAGCCCTGGGCCTGGACCACATGGTCCCCGTCCCCTACAGGAAGATTGCCTGCGACCCCGAAGCCGTGGAGATTGTGGGCATCCCAGACAAGATCCCCTTCAAGCGCCCCTGCACGTACGGGGTCCCCAAGCTGAAGCGGATCTTGGAGGAGCGGCACAGCATCCAGTTCATCATTAAGAGGTGCGGTGGGCGGGGCCGTGGGGAGGGGCGGGGCCGGGCAGCCGACGGGAAAAGGGCGGCAAAGCCTGGCCCTCGTGGTTCCTAGGACGTTCTCCTTGGGGTGACCCTCCCCCCGGGAGCCCTGGGGGCCTAGTAGCTATGTATTGGGCTGCTGACGGATGATTTGAAAGATGACCGGTTGGGAGCCCTGGTAACGTAGTGGTGGGCTGCTACCTTCAAGGTCAGCAGGTTGAAATTGCCAATCACTTTGAGGGAGAAAAACGAAGCTGTTTACTCCCATACAGTTACAGTCTTGGAA